CTCAAGACCACTCAACACGATAAATCTGTTTCACCAATTGAGAGCCGTCTAACGCTTAAGAAGGTAAATTACCGACCGCAACTGAAAAAATGGACAAAATCATGTAATATCTAATTGTATCTCGAGAGATCTAAGTAGATATTACATGATTGAGACATATATAACGAGACTTTTCCCTTTTCCGTTACAGTTGCGTTCGATAATTCATCTCCTATGGTAAAAGGTTGGTGCACCAGTAATATTCTGCACCCTTACAAGAGTAAATCTGAATTTTTACTTCATAATTATGAGATATACATATATGTTATAATGAAATCCATTAGACAAGAGGAGATAACTATTGTTTGGCAATTTGCTACTTTTGTGAAAAGAATCTTTTACATTATACAAAAATCAATGTTGCTATCTCTCGCATTTCTTGGCTTATCTTTCTATTAAAATGTAAATTATTACAGCCAATAATGTTGAGCGGTGAGAGAGCATTGATAAAAAAAAGTTGCTTCTCTTATTGCGAAAGTAATATTGGGAAATTATTTCATTTTTATTTCATCAATAATAACAATAATAACTGTATACTTGGTCTTGCAACAAACGAGCAGAGAGTTTACATAACGGAGTAATAACTCATGAGAGTAATTCGATATTTGACCGATATATGTATATACATATGTATATGTATCGTCACCGCGCGCGTCGCGTCGTGTTGTAAAGTGATCCGTCGCGTGGGATATGAAACACGTGTTTCACGGGCGCAGAGCAAAGGCTAAATCTTAAACGAACCGGTTGGAATATTTCTGACACGTCACATTCATAAATGGTTAGCACAAATTTACTATTGTTTATGCATATTTAAATATAGATAGGTAGCACTGTTGCGCGTGCGCGCGCACGTACGTGCGTCTGCGTGTTTAAACAATTAAAGCTACTCAATTGATGACGTGTATTTTACTTTAAATACCTCTGTGTCTCATTGTCAGGAATTGTTATTGCAACACGAGCGAGTTGCTTTATATACTTTTCTAAACCGGCAATAATTGTAAATTAACATTCAATGTGTTATGGCCATCTATTGTCAAAAGAGGCACCAAAGTCCAGGGTAGTTTCTTGATACAGTGAAATATACACTTTTCTTGTAATAACATTTCTTTTAAGAATAAAACTTCATTATTTTACCAAATAATATAGAATATTATCCTGTTTAAATGTGTGTCTCTCTGTTTTCTCTTCCCTCCAGTCTTGAGAAAATTACGAAAGATATTTGTACATCTTTCAATCTCTCGGATCCGTTTTCATTCTTCCAAGTGCGGAAGCTCGGTCAGTGTCTCGGCCACCCTCGTGCCGCGTACAGTTTGCGAGGAGGGGACCGGTTGGCATCCCCTCTGGATACACATATATATCCCCTTCCTTCTCCATCCCTCTCTCGACTTAACGCCAGTATGAGCGCGCGCTTTCGAATGACGCGTTCGTGTCTGCCGCGAGGGATACGATCAGTCTGTTCTCCACGTTCTCCACGCAAGGACGATTGCCGTCCGCTTCGTTCGGCGAATCGCAACGTGAATTTTTATTCTTTATCAGCCGAGCCGAATTATGCGTTCGAAATAACACGTGGATGTATAGGTAGACATTCTGTGTGTAGACGTTAATCCTTTTCCCGCCTTTACTATTGTCCTCACGTGTCATCGCTCATCATCGCCAGCCGAAGGCGTGCGGTGTGCTAGTGTGATCAATGATTTCTTCAAATCGAAACGTAACATTTGCAATAAACGCTACATTCGGATTTATTTCAAAATAAAAATGTATACGCGTGGACAGTAGCACGTTTAGTTTGTTATGACCCAACTGGTATTCGAAAGACTATTTTTGTCGTCGTCGTCGTCGCCGTCGTCGTCGTCGTCGTCGTCGACGTCGACGTCGTCGTCGTCGTCGTCGTCGTCGCCGTCGCCGTCGCCGTCGCCGTCGCCGTCGCCGTCGACGTCGTCGTCGTCGTCGTCGTCGCCGTCGTCGTCGTCGTCGTCGCCGTCGTCGTCGTCGTCGCCGTCGTCATCGCCGTCGCCGTCGCCGCCGCCGTTGCCGTTATCATCGTATCGATATTTTATCCGATAATCTCGAGATGAGGCCGCTCTTGGTATTCGTAATGGTCTACTTGCTGGCCAAGATCGTCGATTGTCGAGCCGTTGAAAATGACACTGATGAGAATGAGCGCGATAAGCGACGACACAAGTTCTCCGTCGAGGATCTACTCAACGCCAAGTTTCCGCACATTATCACTGGAGATTTAGACATTGATATTTGCAAGGCAGGTAAGTATAAAAAATAAAAGATTGATAGTTATATATAAGCCTGTCTAACAAGTATGCATACGTTCATGGAAAAAAATATAAATGTAACTTTATCTCAAGAAAAAAAGGAATGGACTGTTTTACTTACTCCACAGATAAGCGCAGGAAAGCAATTTTTATGCAGATGTGACTAACATATATTTGATTCTTTCTTTAATCTCAAGTATATTATATGTTTTATTGACATTTTATTTCAAGAACAAATTAAATATTTAATTATAGCATTGATACTTTAATGTATTTTTATTTAACATTTTACTCTTGACACTTTAGACATTCGATACAATTTTTCGATACTTATTGCGTTCATAAAATACACAAGAGACATTTAAACACCCAATTCTAATATAAACTAAGCTAATTGACAAGATAATATAAATAGATAGCTAATTAAAGACAAATATTCTTTGTCTTTGAAAAAGGGCATTAATTGTTCTCAAATGAACAGAAACAGAGACAATTATGTTTTCCGTTAGGTAATTCTTTTTTTTTACAACTGTAGAGATCTACCTCGTTGTATTCAAGATGAATTCGACACTAAGGCTTGGGAATTGCTATAGTGAAGAGGTAGGGACGTCTTTTCATCCTCTTGAAATGATTATCTTGCAAGTGTCTCGAGAACTGTAGACGAGTCAGCAGTGGAGTAAAAAAGAAGGGGATGAAGAACGATATGGCACGACACACTTTTCGGGCGTGGTGTTGGGTTGATTCAAAAAAAGAACAGGAGCAAAATTTTTATTTTTACATTCAATCTACCATTTAATATATTACAATATATTAGATGATAATTTACCAAATATTATAATTTTGTCCATACATTTCATTATTTAACATTTTGAAGCATATAGTGGTATGAAAAATGTCTCATTTTTTCGGTGCTTGAACGCGTATTGTGGGACATTATTCAAACCACCTAATTAATTTCGCGCAATTTTATATTCCAAATCACTTAAATAAACCTATTATCACATTTTATAAAGATAAAATTTCTATACCTACAAGATATTTTTTTATTTAAAAACCATATGCTCCAAAGAGTTCAGGACTTGATAATCTTTGAAAAATATAAGATATATTATTATCTATTAACATAATTATTTTATGCAAAAGAGATTGCATCCCAAAAGTTTCTCTTCTTGTTGTTACAATTTACGAAATCTTTAGCTTCCAGTTATTAGAACGACTTGAAGAAAGTTTCTATGAAGATCAGTACGCTACGTCCAAGTATCTCTTATTAATGAGGAAAAAGCATGTTGCACTCTTCTCTATATTACTCTAGAAGGTTGAAGAAAAAGTCGGCCGCTCGAAAAAAAAGAAAAACACCGCCGAGATCGCGTTCTCGCGCCTTCTCGTAGCGCTAATGTATCCTGGTGTATGGTGTTGTTGAACATGCGCTCCTATCTTCTCTCAACTGTACGTAAAGTCCAACTGCCAGATGCTGTGATTTCTCATCTAAAAATGTATTCGATAAATCTCGTCTTCGTATGACTTAATTTTTGCAACATTTTGAACGATCCAATCCCTCTGAATATCTTTTCTGTGCAATATTTGTTTTGACCAACCCTAAAAATTTGAAAACATCTTTCAATTGAAAAGGCTCAAAAGTATTGATATTCATTTTATTTGTAAAAGAAAGTTTAATTATCCGTAACGAATGATATTTAATCAGGGCAGAAATGCATGCCTTTTCAAAGCTTTCTCGCTCAAAAGCTAGTTTTACGTTGCTTCACGTTAAATTTTTATCTCCGTGAGATATACGTTAGTGATTTACCGTTTTCCTCTGCGTTCTTTGTACTCTTTTGCTATCTCTCCTCCTCTTCTTCTTTCCTTTTCTCTCTCTCTCTCTCTCTCTCTCTCTCTCTCTCTCTCTCTCTCTCTCTCTCTCTCGCGCGCGCGCGCTTCCTCTCCCTCTTTTACTACTCTACTTCCTCCCCCCTCTCCCTTTATCTTTCTTATTTGCTGTCTGATTCTTGCTTTCGCCCTAATTGTTTTCCTCTAAATTAGAAGACTTTGATAGTTGGAGTGTATGCGACAAGTATGGCATATATGTATGGTTGAAAGAATTAATGGCAATACAATGGATAGTGTCAAATAAAATTTTCATTTTATGCCATTAGTATTGTTATTATTTTATTAAACTTTTTGAGATTACAGCATAATCAAATAATGCAGATTATATGTATCTGCATGCAGAATCATGCATGATACCGTATGTATTTATACATTTATAATATACTTGATAATGATATCAAAACGTTACGTCGAAAGATGCAAGGTTATACATATATGTATACCGCAAGGTATACAATTACATCTGTCTAATGATTAACATCTAACTATCGAATGAACGCATATAACTCGAATATTTCATAAAAAATCTCGAAGCTAAATCATGTTACATGCAACTTCCATTCGCGCAACGTTACATACACACACGCACACGTTTTACAAGTTTGTTTTAATATTATATCTAAACAAGTAGACTAGCTTCAGTTCTACTACGTCGAAACACGACAAATGGTAAAACGCAAGCGAGAAAAGTATATTTATGTAGAAAGTATATCACTTGGAATACCGAATAATACTATAAGTTATACAATTACATAAGGTATATAAAGCGATAAAAATTAAAAACAAAGTAAGATTTATGGTTCTTAACAACAGGTGCTAAAATTTATTTATTTTTGAAAATATAACAACAATAAATAAGTACAAATCACACGCTTATCATTAATAAATAAATCTCTTTTATTTTCTTAAATAATTGAAAATTTTTCAGTGAGACGTAATATATATATAAAAAGCATTATTCAAGATAGCCATTTATAAGTCAATGTGAATCTATTCTCTTCGATCCCCTCGGTTAAGCTGGGATGCAGTATGCCATTCGCCTTGCTTTCCTTCTGTTTGCTTGATTATCACGTCGAGAGATAACCTTTTAACCCTCTGCACGCCTCTGGCACGCAGTTTGTGAGGCTTTTTCTTAATTCCAGGCGAGGAAACGAGATTTTGATGTCTTACCATTTATTTAGAACAATGTATACTCTTACCATATCCAAAGTTTTGAATAATTTCGTAAGCGAGCTGACATTTGTTTCGATATATATTGTATTCAGAGTTTGGTGGACAAAATAATACACGACACACACACACACACACACCCATACGAGACACACGATACGCGACACGCGACACACACACACACACACACACACAGAGACAGCTGTTTCTTTTTTGCTCGTGATTATATCGTGTCTCTACATTTGAATCTCAGAAACCTGCTTTTCTTTTCTTAACTTTTCATCATTTTTAAGGCATGACGAAACAAATATAATTTGATTTGATTCTCCTATATATTTTATGAATGAACGTGAAACTATGGCTTTCGATCGAATCAAACTCAGGAAGTGAAAAGTGACGCAGAAGCCGAACGTGATGAGGATTTATCCTTTGGGATTAGATCGAATACTCACTGGTTTGAAAGACGGACTATGATGGAAGAATAGCAAGAACGAGAATAGAACGAGAAAGATGCCAACTAGAGATACTTGTCGTTGACACTTTTTACGATTGAGATCAATTCCACAAACCATCGTTACTGCGATCATTGCTTCCAGATAAAAATGACATTATTGAGAAATGTCGTAAGCACAGTGAATCATTATTAATACAATTTGTTATTACTTGTGACATATTGAGAGAAATCGTTTCTTAAACAGACTATTTTTATGATTAGTGTGGGAAACTCTTACGTATTCGGTATTATGTACTTTGTAACGGTTACTTTACCGTGAGACATTCTCATTCGATTACATTAGAGCTATATCACACAAGATCCGTTTATGATCGAGAAAATATGAAATACCTTTCGTACATACACATGCAGATGCATTGTACGTGGCTCCTCCTTATTGTCGTATATGTCGTATATCGAGAGATTTTTTTCTGAAATAGCCTTAACTAAAAAGAAAGGTCGATTGATGAGCGATGTAAAAACTTGAGATAATGAGACAAGTACAAAGGGCCAAGTTTTTGCTGCAAGATTTGGCTGTTACGTTAAAAGATGTAAAATAGTCTTTCTTAATCATCGTGTAAATTGCAACAAATCGAAGAAAAAGAGACATAGAAGTATATTTGTAACTTGTATCTTAATAATTTATATAAACAAGTTTTCTTGTGTGTCTCGCAATTTCTCCTCTCTAACAGGCGATATAATACTTGAATTATTTAATTAGCAGTATGTCACAACAAATATATATTAATAAGTCAATTATAGACCGAAAGCTATGAGTGTTAACAGGTGTTTATTGTAATAAATATTACAATCTTACAAAATAATATTTATTGAATAGATTACTCGTTAGTGTCTTAATTATTTTCATTAATGTTTTTCAATTTTCCAAAATGTTTAATCTACTCGATGATCCTCTATCGGTCTCTGACATTACCTCGATTGCAGCATCCAAAATAACTTATTTAAAGACAAACAAATTGTACGAATGTGTACATCAAACTGTTAGATAATTACGATATTAATAATTATATTTCGTTCGACAAGAAAAGACGTTCTTCTTTTTTTCTGCGATCCTTTATTCTAGCACGCGCCGTACAGATGGGATCAAATTATCATTGACAAAGGATTAAAAGGAGTAAAATAACGCTATTAAATCAACAAAAGAGAACCACCGTCGAATACTATATGTCATTACGTACAGGACGAGGAAAAAGAAGGAAAGAAAGAAGACCGAAGAGAAAGCAGATATAATAAAGTTGACATGAGTAGTGTACGTGAGCGTTTAATCCGACGCGATAGAGACTCGCCGCGATGCGAGAGGTTTCTCCATTCGAATCAATACAGCACATACTCGTACACATACTCACGTAATCCGCGAACGTACATATGTAGTAATACATGCGTACGTTGTACTATATGTTGTATGTTGAGAGCCGAAATGTTGACTGATTGTGAATAAGAATTCGTCATGCATTTCTCACTTTTTCGCGCATCGTCTTTCTTCTTTTAACATTTTACAAATGATAAATTCACTATTAGCATTGATGCAAAATAATTCAAGGTTAAAAATCTTTACACTCTTTTGTTGCTAAAAATATCCTCTCGCCATATTAATCGAGTTTCGTGTATGTAAGCTTAACAGTCAATCATATCACTGTAACATTATGGACCTATATTGAAGGTAAATATTTTCTAACAAGATTAAATCTAAAGAAATTATTTAATAATGATGAAATAATCGTTTGTCCATTCCAATGCGAAAGTCAAAACTTCATCAAAAGTCCATCTTTTCAGCTAACCAGGAGTAACTTTTGTCTACTCTCTCTCTCTCTCTCTCTCTCTCTCTCTCTCTCTCTCTCNCTCTCTCTCTCTCTCTCTCTCTCTCTCTCTCTCTCTCTCTCTCTCTCTCTCTCTCTCTCTATCTATCTCTGTCTCACATCTCGCATGCTCTTGCAAATGTCCTGGAAATGGAAAAGGAGGCTTCTCTGATCGATTCGGAGATTGAAACAGTTTCCCGATATCACGATTGACTCTTTGCCACGATTTCGCGGCAGAACATCTTGAATACTATCTGCACTCTTTTCTTTATTTTAAAAGTTTATGTTTTGAAAACATTTTTCTCTAATGATAGAAAAACGTAGCAGTTCCTGTTACTATTACGAGCACATTCTACCCACCTTTTTGAATAATTAGAGACTGAGGTAAATGAGGTAATATTGTTACCTTATAATCTCAACATTGGTAGTAAAATAAATGGTGAGAACTAAAGGAAAAGAATTGAAGAGCGTTTATCACTTGTAATGAATAGGTAGGGTATCGATAAAATTATTTCACGTGAACATTCGGACGATGCTCCCGTCTGAATGGCACGAAATCACCGATTCGAAACGGACAGGGGTTTGGCATTACGTGGTTTGTAACCGACTGCACCGTGCATATACATACATTCATATACGGAAGCTGTGCAGGGCCGCACTTGCAATTCTACATAGTATCCATGTATTTGTATCTATGCATTTTATAGATTTATTGCATTATAAATTAAAAGCGTGTTTGTATAGTTGCCCTTCTAATCTATTATTAAAATTACTCTGTGACAAGACCAGTATTTCAAGTGATTGTAATTGTAATATTACACAACATTTTGGAAAGCAAAAACACTAAAGAAATGGTAGAAGAAATGATAGAAACTGTGTAGATCGATATAATTGATATATTCCTTAATATCTAAGATTCGCTGTGCGCATGTACAAATTAATAGATCAACTGTGACTGCAGCTATGCAATTCGTTGCTACGAGGCCTGTATTTATGGATATGTCGCCACGAACGCGTGGCGATTTCAACCTCGTTAATACTTACCGAGGTGTCATCGTGTGCGTGCGTGCATGCGTGCGTGAGCGCCTAATTAATTAACCGAAACGGGCGCCAACGTACGCAGGGATGTACATTGTACATATACGTTTGCGACGTCGATCCAGATTGGAAGAATTCCAATTTATTACGCGCGTCACTTGTATATTCAATCCGTTTACCGAATGGAATTGTGTATAATGTATTGTATGATTAATTTCAGGTGGTTTTCTTGGTGACATTGCTCTGCCAAATATTAAATACGACACAGAATGGCGCGAGCAAAAATTGAATAAAAGCTATTTAGAAGAATTGAAAAAGTATAGAGAAGAGATATTGAAAGAAGGCCTACAGGTGGAGGAGGAAGGTCTCACAGGTAAATAACATATTAATATATTTTATAGAATAATGCAAAATCCGACAAACGCAGTTTCTGTCGAAATGGTTGGAACACAATATCGATACTTTCTAATAGTTATCACTTATCATTGCACTTATTTGCGACTTTTTTCAACTTTACACAAGTCAAACAAAAGTTATTCGTGTCCATTTATACAATCACGATTATATATGGAAAAGATGGCGACAAACTGTATAATAAATAAATATATTTATAGTAGTTTATGTGCATATACTGTTCGACATAACAGTATTGCGAATATTATATTACATTTTTACTTTTCACTGCCTGCAAAGTTTTTCACGTGTTCACAAACAGCTGCTATAACGTTAAATAAATTGCGGTTAAGCTGTTAAAATCAACGTTACACATAATAAAAAATTATATAAATTGTAAATTCGACCTTTCGGTTGCCGAAACGATCAAACTATTAATTTAACATCTTCTGAAAATTATTAAAATTAAAAATGTAACCAAAAACCTATTAAAAAGCATCTAAGGAAACTCGGAAAAAAGTTGTTGATACCAAAACTGTTCCAAGCAGTAGCCGTTCTAAACAAAAAGAAATAAAACTGTTTATTTCAGAAATTCTACAGTTTAAGAGTGAAGACGATGCTAATAAACAGGTGCTCCCTGAGCACGATCAGATGGTTGTTGGAGAAAAGTCAGAACCTGTCACGATAAATCGCAACCAGTATAGCACTGGTGACGATGGTGGTTTCAGCTTTAGTGCTAGAAATGATGATACTAATCCCGCGGTCAAAGACGAAGGCTTTGAATTCAGGTATTACAATGGCCTTACTATTTGCGTTTCACGATACAAGAATAATTAAATAATCTAAAAAGTTAAATACATATGCGTAAACAGTATGTGAAAAAAGTGACACTTACTACCGATTGTACCTATTGTTGTATCTATCAGATTGGAATTTTCGACCCAAGCTTCGAAGAAAAGGCATTCTGGACGACAAACTCGACAATTTTCCAGGAGGACTTCGATATCGGGATCAGCGACAGCTAGACAATCGAACGACAATATGCCTCTCGAATTTTCAACCTCTACAACTTTAACTCTCGAGGATAACGAATATGTAGGCCGCATACATACAGGCGGTGTCAAGGAAACATTTACCGCGCAACCTGAAACGGGTGTGCAAAGTGTTGCAAATCGACGACGTCGGCGTCATCATCGCAAAAGGTAGGAAGGCATGATTAAATGTTGTCAAATATAGAGATATTTGGTTCTATTATTTACAAATTATTATAACGTTACGGCAGTTTGCGATACAATAGATTAGCTAGCACGACTTGATTAATCATTAGCGTGGCGAAATGTTTACGTTTATTTGACTCGGTGCTTGTCCCGTTATCTCTTTCATCCCTAGCATATACGGTAAATCTTGATAAACAAATGATGACCAAAATTGATAATTGATTGACTAGATGACACAAGCTGATAATGCTTATATACATACATTGAATACACTCAATTACTTCAGTTTGTAATATCTTCCGTAATATCGATACTATTACGTGCGTAATATTTGATGCGTTAATTGTTCTCCAACATAAAACACGATCGATTTATATTGATTCACTGTGGATGCGATGAAATTGTGGGAAAAGATTGCGAGAACACGCGATTTGGCATCGTCCTATCACTCTTCCATTTGGTTACTGGCGAGCACATCAATTTCTAAGTACCAACGGTATTTCCGCTAGCAGAAACTATCTCGCAATGCCAATAACAATGGCCGTCGTCGTAAAGCTTGAAAATGGGGTCCGATACTACCCCATACGTCCGGACATTTTCAGTCCTCGAACTGCCAATAACTTGTCAGCATTGGCAGCGACATTTCGTATACCATGTATGCCTGCGATCACGTATGTCACTCGTTGTATACTCTTATAGACCAAAGTATTTCCCTCTTAATTAAATAAGCGAGAAAAAGCTTTTTCACATTTTACTCATTATTATCTTTCTACCTGTGATATATCGCATAGTTTTGACTATCGTAGACTGTATTTTTTAGACAGCAGTCATATTACTAACAACGATACAGGAACGATCGAAGCTACGTGACAGTTGACTAAATAAATCGCACCACACACACATACAGTGGAACGAGAAGAATATTTAATTGGCACAAGAAACAGCCATTATTTTAGCTAGATTACAAAGTTGGAAGATAGAAAGTCCGTTATAGTTCTAAGTATCACCCATCTTTTCGATCGTTTTTCCTAAAATTACCACCGATTTCGTTGCGAGATCCGCCACATTCGCGGGTTCAGCGCGAGACTTTTCCCTGTAATTCTCTAGAGTTTCGTCGGAAATCACTACTATACGATTATGTTTCACAGTATCGGATATAGGGCATAAACACGCGCTTTCGTAGCGCGCTTCAAAGCTCAATCTACGTTCGGTGTGCTCCCCAATCCCTATGCATGTATCGCGACCCTTTCGGATTTTCACCCCTACGGGATTAACACTGACATGTGTATAGTACGTTGTACGACTGCGAAGCTTTGTGAAATTATACAAAAACCGTTACAATATAATAAACAATTTGTGTTTTTCTTCCGATTCTCAAGTATTCGCTTCTCGTTAAAACGTTCAATTATGTCAAAAATAATTTTACAATCGAGGTATGCGGTAAATTTTACCAGACTTGAAAAACTTATTACTTTAATTGTTATGCAAAGTGTCACACGTGTGTGTGTGTGTGTGTGTGTGTAAAATAAGCATATAAATATAAATGCGTATTGAAAATATCACATTATAAAGCATTTCATCACTTTTAACAGCAACAATTATCAATACAAGTACAATGTGTATTGTACTTTAGCATCCTCAGAGAGTTCTATTCTTTCTTTGTCTCCCCTCCCCCACCGCAATCACTCTGTCGCGATCTATAATAGTCGTACTTTCCCGTATAATATCGTCGAAGCAGCGAAATAAATAGCTAATCTTTTCGCAACATAGCACAAGTAGGCCCAACGAGCTACGTACATAAAGGAAGCACGGTAAATGCTCCGGTCTCAACCGGATTCATTAACGCACTCAACTATACCTCTCCTCGCTTCTCGCGGCGCTTACTTGAGGGCGGCTCACACGAGGTGAGGCACGCTAATTAATCGTAATTGTGACGCTTTGCTGATCTTTAGAAACGTCTTGTCTAAGAGCCACGGATCACTCGGTGGCGCAACACAATACCTCGATTTTTCATGTATTTACCACGAGATCTCTATAGAGACCAGCTGTGACAGATGTAGCAGCGGAGCGATCTGTCTTGGTGCGATTTTTCACAGTTACTCGTCCCCGGCATTCTTCGCTACCGATGGTATCTCTTATTATAATCTAGTAGGTCGTTTGCATAGCATAGTAACACGCCGATTGATATACAACTAATATACAGCTCGGTATTTTTCTTTTACGCGCAGGGTACATATGTGTGAGTCAAGATACATGCACAGAATGTAAAATGTGAAATAATATAATATTTTGAACAGCGATTCTACAATTGATTAGACCACCGATGTTAGATCAACGTTATCATGGCGATTTCATTGCATTTAATTCTTTATTCTTCCATAACATTTACCAATTGCGGTACAATAAAACGTGATCTCTAACGTTGCGTTTCGTCGCAATTGCCAATTTCGTTTGCTCTCGTAAAAAGTTATGCGTCCACAGTGCCTTTGTTAGGTATGCCTAGCAACCAGCTTTTATCGTTTGTACTTTCGGAATCGTTCTCTCCTCTTTATTACCTATTTTTAGGTTTTGGAAAAAAGAAGAGGACGTTTTACTTAAAAATTATATGTATATTTTACGTCACATGGCACGCATAATAAAAGTTCTGCTTGTCGTTTATCTTTCTAAAACATTTTCCTTACGATGGGTAGTACTACCGTTTGCTAGAAAATAAAAAAAGTTTCTTAATTAAATAGACCATTGTTACCGCAAGTGCGTGCGTGCGCGTGTACAAAAATGCGTATGATCGATATGTTTTGTATATCTTTGAACTTTGTGTAGATGTTCTCAAAGTCATTGTAATCGACGAATATACGGCCTTATTACCGATGCGTCGGACGAAATTGTTTCTGCACACGATCGACGCCTTCGTTCCATCGAGTTCTACGATATAGAACACAAACCAAAATATTTGGCAAACAAGAGCGGCACGAGACATGCGTATTTAAGCAGAATACGTCGAGCGGCTACTGCGAGGAAGGAACGAGTGTGGGATCACGGTGTGATCCCCTACGAGATCGATGGAAATTTTTCTGGCGCACATAAAGCTTTATTCAAGCAGGCGATGAGACACTGGGAAAATTTCACTTGCGTCAAATTTGTAGAGAGGGTGCCTAGAGAGCACCCTAATTACATTTTGTTTACGGAAAGACCATGCGGGTGAGTCTAATGTGTCTCGCGCATGACAGAGAAATGCTATATCTGTAGCGCGTCATTATTATTATTATTATTATTATTATTATTATTTTAAGCGGTACCCTCACTTTTCTTCGTTTCTCTTTCTCTCGCGAGATAAATATATATCCATAAGATATTCTAACGTTCTGATATCGATTTATACGATTTCAAAAATTGTGCGTGTGTTTAACGATACACTAAATTTTCTTCGATAGATGTTGTTCTTTCGTTGGAAAGAGAGGTAATGGACCGCAGGCTATTAGTATTGGAAAAAACTGTGACAAGTTTGGAATAGTTGTACACGAATTGGGTCATGTCGTTGGATTTTGGCACGAACACACCCGACCGGATCGTGACCGTCATGTACAAATCATCCGCGATAATATTATGAGTGGTAAGTGATATCTAATTTATCTCAAAACAGCACGTGTGTTTGCGGCGTGACCCTTCACGTGACTTTATGTCAATAATGACTATATTTGCAAGCGGTTATTTACTTTGATTTGCATTTAAAGCAACGGTGTGCGTACGTGTGTGACAGAATAGCTCTTTCTGAAACATTTATACGTCAATATTGTTAGCAGAGTTTTGCTATAGTTTTAACATTTAATGTAATTAATTTATCGTTGTATAACCAATGATCAAGTTGATCCCTTGAAAATTTTATATATTAAGTTATACAAAGGAAAAATACATTTGCAAAGTAATGACAAAATAATGACGAGGCCTCAGACAAGAAATCTCGTAAAAGTGATCCTTAATATTTCTTTTTAGGCCCTTTCTTTTCTAAACTTTGTTGGTCAGGGGTTGGCCTGGAATCAGTCTGTATGTAAATTTTTGAACGGATTTCTTTTATTAAATCAAAGTTATAATTGTAATTAGATCACCGTTATAGCGGTACTCGTCACTTATTCATATTCATCATATATCTCTTTAAATCATTCTCTCAAATTGATCCTTATACGTATCATCTTTTCTATACGGGAATTGAGAGATTTGTCAATCACCTTCAACTTTCGCACAGGATCTGAGATGGATTTTATTTGACGAGATTTTATCAGCCATCGCATAATACTGTAGTAGTTGTAAAGCTGTAATGGCCTGCAACATGAAGGAGAGAATATTTCTCATTATCCAAAGTTATTTTATCGAGACATGTAATTAGGCATTTTCGGAGAGATGCTCTTATTTCAGAACTCAAAGAACAATTCAGCATTCAGCATTTCAGTACAGCACTTGGGGCCTTTTCTCTTGACTCATCTCCAATTATATCTAATCTAATCTAAAAGATGTTGGTGATATATTTTTTAAGCTGTAAAGACAGCTGGTATTTGATTAAGAAAATACATCTGTGTGAGCTTGTCTGCGCGTCGAAAATATATGTATATTTCATCTTCAATCACACGTACGAAGGTTCATTACTTGGCCTTAAATAATGTCACATGTCGGCCACTATTTAGGAAGACTGACGCGCCGAAAATTGTTTTTTAATATTAGGAAGAGTTGTATTTTATACACCGGCTCGATAATATTTACATTTATCGTTACGTGTGTCACAAAGTATACATGTAACGTATCATTTTTGTTGATATATGAAATAGAAAATATTTAACAGAAGAGATTTGGAATATCGAAGATTAAATGACGCAACTCTTGAACACATATTTTTCCCGTCTCGCAAAATGCACAATAACATATTCAATATCTGCGGACCAATTTCCATAAATTTCACAGAGTTGTCGTGTATATTCCATGTTTGGTGAACGTGAGTAAAATTTCTTCGAAAGCACACATGTATGTATGATACATGCGTGCCCCGGAGGATCACATATTTAATGCTGCAAAGCCTATCTTGTTTTAGGCATATTTGTTTGATTTTGTGGCCTTTATTCTCGGTTTAGATTAAGCGTTCAATTTAACGAGAATGTGCAAATGTCATTGATCATTGGGAATAGCAATAATCACGTGATAGACTGATTATTTGCACGCGACAAGTATCAGGGAATTATCGTCATTCCGCATTTTATCATTGTTATTTGAATTATCTATCCTAATGAATTGTTTAGTTGGCGAAGCAGCTTATTATACATGTATGTATATCGCGAACCATTTGAGTTTCTTCTCATGATCTTCTGATCACGTAAATTGCTGTTTAAACCGTAGTTGCTTCTAAAGTTGTTAACCGCTAGCCTGCGACATAGTCGATGCAACGCGTAAAACGACCATACATTGCTGTACGAAAATTTCAAAAGCTACGAAAATAGAAAACCAAATTACCCATATTAAAAGACAATATTTAAAAGTTATTAATGTACATGTGTATAGAGAGTTCACTCCCTTGTCTTTGAGGGATATGTTGCTACTGTTGATAGCAAGTCAATTTTTCGCCTTATCTGACGAATTTGTGATCCGCTTTGTTTTTGCTTCTTGATGATAAAGTTTTAATAGAAGGATTTTGGATATTAAAAATTAAAGAAAAATATCAACAATTTTACCGTAACAAACGACAATAAAACTTGCTCTGTAGAGGGTTTACAATAAATTAATTTATTAAAAAAAAGTTGACACACACACACACACACACACACACACGTTGTTGTGCCACAAAGAGATTTTTCCTACACGAGGAGACTTTTCTTCAGCGAAAATATTATGTCTTGTTGCAGGTCAGGAGTACAATTTCAACAAGTTGACAGAGGAAGAGGTCAATTCACTCGGATTACCCTATGATTATGACTCAATTATGCACTATGCAAAGAATACTTTTTCGAAAGGCACTTATCTGGACACGATCTTACCTATGGAAACTCATGGAAAAAAGAGACCCGAGATCGGACAAAGAATTAGATTGAGCGAGGGCGACATTGCACAGACGAATCTTTTGTATAAGTGTTACAGTAAGAATTTAACGCAATAAGAATCTTGTGTACTCCTGTTGAGATATGTTCAATTAGTAATTATAAAAATTAAGTGCTGCTTCAAAAAGAGGAAGCTTGACATTGAAATATTCACATTTGTCAGTTTTTACAAACTTGAGACTTTCGACTTTCAATCGATGACGCAGTACTAAATATATACAAGAATAAAAATAAGAGTTAAAAATCCGAATATGCTAATATGGAAATATTAAAAATACTTTTTACTTCGTTTCGTTTGAAATATATATGCCAGATATGTCGACCGACTAGATAGAACTAACTTAGTCTAATCTGATTAAATGGATAGACTTGAACAATTTGATTTTTGTGAATCTTGACAGAATGCGGTAGAACTTTTCAAGAGAACAGTGGCAGCTTCGGATCACCGAATCATCCAAATAATTCTCCGTCCGTTGATGGAGAACGATGCGAATGGAGGATTACGGCAACGCATGGCGAACGTATCGTATTAAACATCACGTCTCTTGACATATACAAAAGTGATTATTGCCGCAGCGACTACCTGGAGATTCGAGATGGATACTGGTATAAGAGTCGAGTATTAGGTAAGAAGTTACGCTCGAGTATTTAAAGAGGAAGCGTAAGGGATGTACAACTTTAATTTGCACCAAGTTTTTGTCAGCCAGGAGGGAACCGCTCTTCTCCCGTAGGAAGAAGCCTAATGATTTTATAATCTTACAATTTGCTCAAACTTTTCGCGTTTATTCAATTTAGGTCGATATTGCGGCAGTGGCAAGATGCACGAACCAATAGTATCGAGTGGAAGTCGTATGCTGGTAATGTATGTGACATCCAGCAAGCAGAGTGGCCATCGTGGTTTCACGGCGAGTTACGAGGCCGTTTGCGGCGGTGATGTTGAATTAGATGGCGTAGGACATCTGGAGTCGCCAAATTATCCAGAAGAATATCAGTCCAGCAAAGAGTGCGTGTGGAAGTTGTCTGTACCTCTAGATTATCAAGTGGCCTTGAAATTCCAATCTTTCGAGATCGAGAACCACGACAATTGCGTGTACGACTACGTTGAAGTGCGTGACGGACATAACAACGATTCCCCCTTAATCGGCGTTTATTGCGGGTACAAGATACCGCCAGATATTAAGTCGACGGGGAATAAGCTTCTCGTCAAGTTCGTCAGCGATGGTTCCGTTCAAAAGGCTGGTTTCTCGGCAACTTTTATGAAAGGTATAAGTAACACGGCGCGATAGAGCACCTGCCACATTTTCGCGTTTATTTGTTATTATCGTCGATCGTACTTATATACCTACTGCTAACATGACGAACGATGTATTACTTTAATGTTTAAGAATTTGACGAGTGCATATTAACGGATCACGGTTGCGAGCACGATTGCATCAATACGCTCGGTGGATACGAATGTTCTTGTAAAATTGGTTACGAATTACATTCTGACGGCAAACATTGCGAAGGTAAAGAGGGACGGTTTCCCCCGAAGGTGAAAAAGTTATTTAAGCTAGCGACAGCAAGTGTAATAAAATTTTCTTTCCAGATGCTTGCGGTGGATTTTTCGACGACAGTAATGGCACTATCACGAGTCCATCGTTTCCCGAAACTTACCCAGGAAACAAGAATTGCGTGTGGGAAATTATCGCTCCGCCTCAGTACCGCATCACTCTTAATTTCACGCATTTCGATCTCGAAGGCAACAACGTATACCAGGAAGAATGCGAGTACGACTCTGTGGAAGTGGCGAGTAAGCTTGGCGATGATGTTCTCAGAAAGCATGGGATATATTGTGGCGCACGATTACCGTCACTTATCACATCCGAAGGCAATTTTATGAGGATTACCTTCACATCTGACAACAGGTTTCACTTCACGTCGTCTATTTTGATACAATTAGTAGATCTAGCTTACGTATATTACGTATCTTGTCTACATTACAAGAAAAGACGTAGTAGCGTCCTTTCGTTATATTTCGATCATTATTTCGATATGCATTTATTCATATCGAAACTATATCGGTATTTTACCTGTTACGTGCAACCCCGATGGATATACAGAACAGAACGACATAACAGAATAAGTTTCGCTCAAAGAAAATGCGCGCGCTCCCTCTTTCTTCCTCGCTCAAATATTTAAAAGATTGAAAATCGAATCGATTCGTTGATATAACGTGCTGTATGTTAAAGTCGGGAATGTCTTTGATACAAGAGGATGGTATTACTATATCACTACTACAATGCAAAGAAACATTAGAAACTAAAAGTTTCGCAATAAAATGTCAAAGTTCAACGCTAAAGGAAACGTTTCCTAAGCATTTTTACGCCGTATTACTTTACCATATACCGGCATAAAACATTAGTCGGGGCGTGCACTCGACAGAAATAATCAATATTCTTGTAATTTGTATTGAATGTTTTATTGAAACAGCGTCCAAAAATCGGGCTTTGCCGCCGTATTTTTCACCGATATGGATGAGTGTGCCAACAACAACGGTGGGTGTCAGCACGAGTGCAAGAATACGATAGGTTCTTATCAGTGTTCTTGCCACAATGGATTTACGCTTCACGAAAACGGTCACGATTGCAAAGAGGGTGGCTGCAAACACGAAATTATTACGCCCGTGGGAACAATCTCCTCACCAAACTACCCGGATTATTATCCTGGCCGTAAGGATTGCGTTTGGCATTTTACTACGAAGCCAGGCCATCGGATAAAATTGGTTTGCATCCTTTATTCGTTATTTCGCAAAATTTGTACTTAACGTTATTGTGCGATATATGACGGTGTGTGTCTCTCTAAAAAAAAAAAATAGAATAAGAAAAGGGAAAAAGGGAGTACATTTTGCCGAAGAAAATGAGAATATGGGAGAGATATTAATATATGATAATGTCGCAGGTCTTTAAAGTTTTCGAGATGGAGCCGCATCAAGAATGCGCTTACGACCATATTGCCATTTATGACGGAGATTCACCAGACAGCATTACTTTGGGTAGATTTTGCGGTAACAAGGAACCACATCCGATTCTTGCTACGGGCAATCAAATGTACATGGTGTTCAAGAGCGATGCATCCGTACAGAGAAAAGGTTTCTTGGCCACTCACAGCACAGGTAGTGCTCTTCTTTTCATAATAGTATTTTATAATATTATTATGTATTTGGGTGCGAACATCTGATTTATGAATATAATAGTTTAGATCGTGGTACTTTGCGCATAATTACCTTTCAATTCTAATTTGCGTTACAGCCTGCGGCGGTCATCTTATGGCAACGGATAGAGTGAGACATTTATATTCTCATGCTAAATACGGTTATTACCATTACGATCACAAAACTGACTGTGACTGGGTGATAGAAGCGCCACTTGGCAAAAATGTTCACTTATCTTTTCTTTCGTTTCAACTGGAATACGAACCCGAATGTGGATATGATTTTGTTGAAGTTTTTTCCGGTTTAGACGCCTCTAGTCCACCATATGGTCGATTTTGCGGTAATTCCGTAAGTATGTCTTTCCAATTTTCTCAAGCATTTCCGGTAATATTACATTGAAATAATGGAAACCCGCAAAGATGTACAAGAAAACTATTTATATCAAGATTTGTGATCGCTATGTTGCAGAATACTACAGATTTTATTTCCATGAATGAGGCGCTACTAGTAAGGTTCAGAACGGATGATACAATCTCAAACAAAGGTTTTGTGGCCATTTTTGTGGCAATCGATCGGCAGGATAGCGAAGAAAATCTCGGGGGTGAAGACAACGAAGATCAGGAAAATATTTGATCCTTGACTCGACTACATTCCAATCAATTGGAGTGATTGAATTGCGAGTAGACTACTTGCGTGAGAGGTATGAATTAGGAACTTTAGTGACAATACATTACGTATATTCTTCTATGTATGTTAAATGAAATTTTCATTCTTGTTAGAATGAGAACACGTTAGAAAACGCGTTGATTCCTTATACATATATATATGTATATATACATATACAGGGTGGGTCTTAGCTGCTGCGCGGGCCCTTTTACCATGAGAGATGGATTACCGACTGCAACTTTAGTTCATTGAACGGCACAAGAGGGCAGCTGCTTAGATCTCAGGGATGTTGCAGGCAAGTTGAAAATCTGTTCCACTTACAGACATCACGCGGAGAAAAATAATTTGCTAACACAATATATCTTATGTAAACTTAAGTAAATTTTGTCTGTTATTTTATGATAATGTTATTTTCTCTTCTATGGACAACTATGTGTTAAGAACACTAATTTTATTGAAAAATTATTGTGCGAAATATTTAGCTAAAGAAATAAAATAATTTCTGTTCTATTAAACGTTCTGCTGTAATGGTGAATAATTTTAATAATGCATAATGAAGAAATTTTCGTATCGTCATCACGTTAATATCAAATATGCAGTATTCAAGTAGCAGCAACAGTTTCGCTGCAATAGCAAAACTATTTTTTTTCGTGCGTATTATTGAAAGTCTATAATTATAAAATAATGTGTGGTGTAAAAATAATAAACAAAAAGTAAACATAAAAATAAAGAATGTTTACTTTTTGTTTATTATTTTTACACCACACATTATTTTATAA